AAAAAAAAAAAAAAAAAAGAATTCTGAATGAGTGGGTTGGCTCATTGCCTTGCTGCTGTTTTCCCAAGTCCCTATGCATCTCTTCCTCAGTTAATCCCTATAGTGTGTTCTTTGGGCAGCTTTCACAGATGATTCTTCTGGTCTGGGACCTCACCTTGGCAGATGTCACTACTGCCAGTCCTCAAGCAGACGGGAGCATGATCACACATTTGTGCGCCACAGTGGGTAATTGGAGCCACTCACCATCTCTGGCCTATTAGTTTTTTACATTTCAATTAAAGGCAGAAAGAAATCAGTATCCACTCTTCTTGGGAAGACTTCTAACTGAAACCCACCACGCCAAAGGTTATGTGATTTTTCTTTTCTCATGCTGTGGCCTCAGAAGAGATGGTTGATAACTGGCTCCTCCCAATACTCCCCATAATAATACTTCTTTTTCTCTGTGAATGCCGTAAGTCATCGGGAGTTCATGAGCCCATTAATTAACCTTTCTTCATAATGGAGACTGCATATCACTCAGTGGGAGTCAAATACACGCTACCATCAGTAGGGTAGCGAATGAGCAAAAACAAATCCATCAGAGCCCGAGTTACGACACCCAGAGGACTTTGAATGAGCCTACACAATGGGAAACAGTTTGCGGTTTCCAGCAGCACCTGGGTGATAGTCCTTCCAAAGCGAGCAGTGGAAAACTCTCCCGCACTGGTATGCAGGATGCTTATTTACTTTTTGAGTTGATGAGTTGTCTGGTAAAAGTAGGTAAGGAAAGGAGTCCCCAGGCTAAAGCTTTTTGAATGGAGATTCCTAAAATATTTTTTTAAAAAATGTTTTCAAAAATAGAAAATTAACTTTTCAGTGCAGAGGAAAAGAATAAAAACATGAGTAGCAGAAGGCAACTGCTTAAAAATCAATTCATGGCTAGGCATGGTGGCTCACGCCTCTAATCCCAGCACTTTGGGAGGCTGAGGTGGGCAGGTCGCTTGAGCCCCGGACCTTGAGACCAGCCTGGGTAACATGGTGAAACCCTGTCTCTACCAAAATACAAAAATTAGCTGGGTGGGGTGGTGCGTGCCTGTAGTCCCAGCTTCTCTGGAGGCTGAGCCTGGGAGGTTGAGGCTGTAGTGGGTCATGATTGCACCACTGCACTCCACCTGAGCAACAGAGTGAGCCCCCAATCTTAAAAAAAAAAAAAGACAGCTTTCTGAGTGGAATATATAGGGTTTTCAATGTATGCATCTATTTGAAGATTATAAAGGGTTTACAAATTTACTGTAAAGGGAGAGGGATATGCCCTTGATTTGGGAGTATACCTCTCCAAATATACAGTTAACTGGTGTTTTACTGTATATTTGGAGAGGTGTACTCCCAAATAAAGGGCAGGGATGGGGAAGGACACTTCAGAATTACCAAGTGAAATTATTCTTGGGACGGACAGCTTTTGAGTGGGAGGCTTTTGAGTTCCTAAACAGTGTTTTGGGACAAATTGTGCATAAAGATGCATTATGGGCTGAGCAATGGCTGGGCAGGGTCACTGGAGGGTGTAGGATGAGAGGACGCAGGAAAGATCCTGCAGGATATGCCTGGAGGACATCTAAGATATTTATGGTGACTATTTTCTTTAGGCTGCCTAGAGGACAATCACTGCTTGTTTCTTCCTGAATCCTTGGTTTTGTTTTAACTTTTACGTAATTTTATATTATTGTAGGAAAATTGGAAAACAAAGAAGGGTCAGGAACTCCCAGTGAGGGGAATAGGCCACAGAACATTCTCTACCATTAATTAAGGGTTGGGCAAAAGGAAAAACATTTTCCAAACACCTGACCTTTAAGAGCGACTTTTTCTAGCCCTGTGGGCCTTAGAAAGTTTAATGGCCATTGAGACTCATTCCTTGGTGGAAGAAACTAGCATAAACCCATTTGTTTTAGGTAAGAAATAGCAACTTCACTGGCGCTGGAAAACAGCATTGGATACACAGCGCACTTCATTCCAAGAGATATTACAAGAGATCCCTGACAGTCAGATTTCCCGATTGATTAGCTATTTCTCGATGCGTATTATTGCTTTTCTTGTCACGTTTAAGAAGCTTGGTTGCCTTCCCAGTTTTCTAGGAAACCGGTGTCAGGTAACACTCCCAGCTGCCTCCCATGAGGAGTTACCTCTAGAGGGCAAAGAGTTTTATCTGGCACTGAAAACTTGCTGGTTGCTTTTCTAGATCCATGTTTATTTTCAGTTCAAAGACAAAGTAGAAAACTTGAGAGTGGAAAATGTTACCTTTTAGTTCACACTCTTTTAATCCCTTAGTCCCCATAAAATAAACATTCTAAAGTGTAAGCAGTAGAAATAATGTAAACTCTACAGAAACAGAAATAAATTAGTTTCTTTCGGTCTTGGTGGAGGTCCTTTTGCTGAATGCCACACTCCGCTGCGAACAGAATTCATCTTGAACCAAGAAGAAATCTTTGGCCTATTTCACTGTGTCTCCAGCATTGCATAACAGACATTTTTCAAATTCAGTTTCTTCTCCAACTGCAGCAAAAAGGCAAAGAGTAGTCTGTTTCAGGAGTCTGAAAAATAGAAAAAAAACCATGTTTGAGTAGTTTAAGAATAGCTTTCTCCTCTGGTGTTAAACCGTTAACACGTTATAGCTCTAAAGTTTGAGGCCAAAAGAAAATTCAAGAGCAGAGCGATGGTTCTGTTCACTAGATAAGGCTGATCTGTGTTTGGAATATTTGACTTAGCAGACGTGGAGAATCCGTCTGCACCACTCTGGAAGGGCAGGCACAGCTACGCCATGCAGCATTCTAAACTTCCCAAGAGATTTACTTGGGGATACTGGCAGAATTCCCAGAACTTCCAAGTTTGTAGGATCCTGTGGAATGAGAATATTTAGGATTTTTTAAAAAATTTTTTGAGACAGAGTCTCACTTTGTCACCCAGGCTGGAGTGTAGTGGCGAGATCTTGGCTCACTGTAAGCTCCATCTCCTGGGTTCAAGCAATCCTCCTGCCACAGCCTCCTGAGTAGCTGGGATTACAAGTGTGCACCGCTATGCCCAGCTAATTTTTGTATTTTTAGTAAAGACGAGGTTTCACCATGTTGGCCAGGCTGGTCTTGAACTCCTGGGCTCAAGTGATTCACCTGCCTCGGCCTCCCAAAGTGCTGGGATTACAGGTGTGAACCACCATGCCCAGCCTTGTTTAGGATTTTAGATAAGGAATCCTGTTACCTTGGATTTTGGGTTTTATAGAGTAGGCACGGAAAGCAATGTCTGAAAAATACCATTTAGGACAGCATGGAAGTTCATGGTCCTGGAAATTAGTACTAAAGTTTTGCTGCTTTCTCTCAAAGGCTATTAAGATTCGTTGCCATTCTTGAATCCTGTAATCTCTTAGAAAGAGAAATAAATCAAACGACGTTAAAAACAAAAGCAAAAACAAAAACGAAGACACAAAACAACACTTAAGTCCCAGAAAAAAATGTGTTCACCCCTCTAAAATGTAAATGCAATATGTTGCCTTTAATCTGAGTTTATACACGGAAGGACTTATCTTTCAGGCCAAGAAAGTGCAACTCTGCTGAAATCCTGTGAGTTGGCCTCCCAGAGATAACTGAGCGGTTTGGAGCCAGATAGGGTGCTTGATTAGTTTCTAGACAGAAGATATTGATGAAGAGAGGGAACGAGGAGCTTCAAATACTCCCCTAACATCTGATTCAAGTGAGGGGAATAAACAGAAAACAGGAGTATTATAAGCACAACAAAGATGAACAAAAAGAAAATATTTCAGAGACACGGCCAGCCTCACTGTAGTGGCTCTGGTATCCCTTGACCTGAGGGTCAATGACTCTTGGGACAGCAGGCGTGCTAGGGTAGAGATGACCCTTTGCTTGGCAAGGCAAGGCTGGACAAGGCCTTCCATGCTCCGGAGATGGGTGGTGGAGGACCAGCTGATTAGCCACATTACATTTGTATCCCGTGATTTTGTGTCTAAAGGGACTTAGAATTTGTGGTCTGACTTTATTTTTTTTTGAGATGGAGTCTTGGTCTGTCGCCCTCGCTGGAATGGAGCGACGCAATATCAGCTCACTGCAACCTTCGCCTCCTGGGTTCAAGCAATTCTCAGGGTTCAGCTTCCCAAGTAGCTGGGATTACAGGTACCTGCCACCATGCCCGACTAATTTTTGTAATTTTAGTAGAGATGGGGTTTTGCCATGTTGGCCAGGCTGGTCTTGAACTCCTGACCTCAGGTGATCCGCCTGCCTCGGCCTCCCAAATTGCTAGGATTACAGATGTGATTACAGGATTACCGTGCCCGGCCTGTGGTCCCACATTTTAAGAAAAACAGAAGGACTGGCCAAAGTATAGAAAGTCTCATTACAGATGAAAACAATCAGAGATGCAATAGCTAAGGTTAGAATGTAAAAACGAATCTGTTGTTTATTGCTTATCATTGGAAGAGGCAATTTCAGAAGTTAACTCAGTGGGAAAATATTTTGGAAGATATCATATACGAAACATTCTATTTTGGCATGGGAATAAGAAATCAAAATGTGCTAAGAAAAAAATGTTTTTAAGGGGAATTAAGAATTTCACAATTGTTACCTAAGCTTTAAAACATTCCATTTTAGTTAGATAGGAGAGATTTAATTTAGCAACATAGGAGAGATTTAATTATCACTATCTTTTAGATGTTGATGAGGATTACTTAAGTATAAAGCTGGAGCTTCCATCCTACTTGGCCCCCGCCTGGAAGCGGAAAGGAAGAGGGCACACAGCACTCCTTGGATGGCTCAGGGTGATACATTGGCACCTCTTTTCTCGGAACACAATGGTGATGAGCAATTTTTGAATTGCTCTGTGAAAAGATAAAGTTTCAAGACTAAAACTACAGAGCTCAGGGGCCCTCCCAGGGCACTTTGTAACCCTGTGGTTTGTGACTTGCGACTGAACAAATCATGTTCACAGAAGGGCTGGCAGGCAGCAACCCAACTCAAGATTAATTTATGGTTATTAAATATCATTGAAAATTTCTGCCCATTTTTCCCTTGTATTGATACATTACATACATTTTTGAGACCGAGTCTTGCTCTGTCACCCAGGCTAGAGTGCAGTGGCATGATCTCAGCTCACTGCAGCCTCCACCTCCTGGGTTCAAGCGATTCTCCTGCCTCAGTCTCCCGAGTAGCTGAGATTACAGGTGTGCACCACCATGCCTGGCTAATTTTTCTATTTTTAGTAGAGACAGGGTTTCGCCATGTTTCCCAGGCTGGTCTCAAACTCCTGGGCTCAAGTGATCCACCCACCTTGGCCTCCCAAGTTGCTGGGATTACAGGCATGAGCCACCACACCCGGCCTAATATTTTATATTCTTATGGGGTATATGGGAGTGTTTATTACATGCCTAGAATGTGTAGTGATCAAGTCAGGGTAACTGGGGTGTCCATTATCTTGAATATTTATCATTACTGTATGTTGGTATCATTTCAAGTACTCTCTTCCTGTTACTTTGAAGTATACAAAATATTGTTGCTGAGTATAGTCATCCTAGATTGCGATCAAACATTAGAGCTTATTTCTTCTGTCTAACTGTATGTTTGTACCCAAAACCAACCTCTCTTCATACCCTCCTCCCAGCCACCCATCCTTCCCAGCCTCTGGCATCTACCATTTATTCTGCCTATGAGGCTAAGCTTTTTAGCTTCCACATGAGAGTGAGAACATGCAGCACTTGTCTTTCTGTGCCCAGTTTATTTCTCATAATAACCTCCACTTCCATCCACGCTTCTGTAAATGACATTATTTCATTCTTTTTAATGGCTAAATAGTATTCCACTGTCTATACATACCACATTCTCTTTAACCATTTGTCTGTTGATGCCATAAGCCAGTTTAGGAAAGAAATGAGTTTCTTTCCTGAACTTATTTCTGCATGTGTAATTCAAGAAAAAGCAATTCTTTTGTAAATAACAAACATTTATAGCAGGACTGGAGTAAATCTGATTCTGTACTCAACATAACTTTTCAGAGCGGAATAAAGAAGGGAGTCCCTGAATTCTTTAGGAAATTTGCCAGACTTTATTGTGTGTTCATTTGAATGAATCTTGCCAAAGTTCAGAAATATGATAAAGTTTCGGAATGAGAAAACAGAATAGGGGGAAAAAAATATCAAATCCTTCGTTCCAATAATCTTTAAACAAAAGACTCAACAGCCGGATCAATTTCACTGGGACAAACAACTTATTTTAATTAGTTCTATTTAGTTACATCCAAAAGAATGAGTCATGCCCTTATTCTAACAATAGTGAAGGGACTACAGAGAAGTCTTGGGAAGAGGGAGCAAGGAGAGCTCAAATTCTGGTGCTTTTTTGGCATAAAACGTTCACCTTTGGTTTCACACGGTTTCCTAGGAGGTGAAACAGGCTAGAAAGGTGAGGAAGGGAAGGACAGAAAGTTGTCATCAACCAAGCGCAATCTTTTTCCCGAGTGGGAGGCGCCTTCAACACTTTCCTGGGGGAATAATGAGTGTGCTGCTCAGTACCTGGGTATCCATGTCATCTACGGTGTGATCCCTGAGGGAGCAAAGTCAGCAAGCCAGACATTTCCTTTCGGATGCCCACGTTTGTCCGAGCTTTAACATTTTTATCTTATGCATTTTGAACAGCCACAGACCTCTGATTATTAGTAGAAGTGGTCCCTGATGGCTACAGTGAGAGGCACAGGAAACAGACAATGCTTGCTGGGTCATTACTGAGGAGCCACCGAGAGGGAACATTTGCTTTGTATGGTGGTTTTATCTTAGGACACTGGATCTGTTTTTGATTGTTCCAGCAAGGTCAAACGATGGGTTTTGAACCACTGCCCACTTAGCCTAGAACAGTATTTAGCAATTCACAAAGAAGAAGGAGGCCTTGGATTGGGGGGTGGGTAGGGGGTGGAAATGCCATTCCATTAGAGAATTAGGAAAGAGCTGGCTCTATTATACTTGGACTAAAAAGAGTTATGACAAAATCATAGCTTTTAATACCCAAACAATCATCTTTACTTATTAAAAAAAAATTACCCCATTATCTTCAAATACCTGTTTGTTCAAATAGCTGATATCATCTTTTGGAATGGGCCAAAGTTCATTTTGCCCGTGACTGAAATGAAAAGGGCATCTTTCGGTTTGGGGCATAAAGGTTGGGGTAATATCGAGAGTCAACAGATGGGAGTTGAGTCTTGGCTTTTGGAGTCACTAGCTGCACAACTTGAGCAGGTTGTCGACCGCTCTGGGCAGAGTTCTTGCAGCTCTTAAACAAAAACACTACCCAACTCCCTGGGTTGATGCCAGCATGACATGTGATGAGGCTGGCAAAATGACGTGTGCCAGCTACGAAACGAGAGGCAGTGCCACAGGGTGGCAAGGCAGCTCTGTAGCCTTGCAGACCAGGGCCACCCCTCAGTGACCAAGGGGTAGGCTTGGTCCTCTTGAAGCCTTGTGGCCTTATGGGACAACACTTGGCTGCAGAGGTGCTGTGACCACCCCTGCAAAGTGCTTAGCACAATGCCCAGTGCATCGGAGGTAATTACCACAGGCCCCTGTCCTGCCCTGCAGGCCCCGTCTATAAGATCTGGAGGAACTCTTGTTAGGGAGTAGGTAATAAAGGATTGAAGGGTATGCATCAGTAAAGCTAAGGATGTGTCCCTTCGCATTACCTGAGTCCTAACTACAATGATTAAGGTATAACTGGACTTATGTGACCTATTTGGAGAGCATGTGAAAACTCACCAAAAAGCTGGAAAAATACTGTCCAAGACAGATAGGAGAATTGAACACACTTATTCTGGAGAAAAATGACAAACAGCAGAAATGTAACATAATGGGTTCCTGACATAAAAAGAGAGATTAGTTGGTATTGCTAGGCCAACTAGCAATTGGGGAAATAGCAATATTTCCCCACGGCCTTACTGGGGAATGCAAGACATTCGCTACACACAAACTCACACCAAAAGACAAACAACATTTTATCAATGCTTGAGTTTATGGGTTTCTTTGTTAAACTAGTCTCCCTTACTTCATTTTCTACAGTTTTTTTTTTTCTGAAATAACAAAGATAAAAGATGCAGTTATGGCTCCAACTTAACACAGCTCCCGCTTCTCAGCAAAAACCACATACAAACACTACCCAAACAACATCCACAACCCAAAACAAACAATTTCACACCTTGTTTTAATGTAATTTCATTTATGGGTCCCTTAGCTTTCTCACCATAGCCTAGGTCTTTGGTGTTTTAGCAACAAAGGCTTAACAAAAAAACTTGGCCAGAGGAGGTGGCTCACTTGAGGTCAGGAGTTTGAGACCAGCCTGGCCAACATGGTGAAACCCCATCTCTATTAGGCCGGACATGGTGGCTCCCGCCTGTAATCCCAGCACTTTGGGAGGCCGAGGTGGGTGAATCACCTGAGGTCAGGAGTTTGAGACCAGCCTGGCCAACATGGTGAAACCCCTTCTCTACTAAAAATATAAAAACTAGCTGGGTGTGCTGGTGGGTGCCTGTAATCCCAACTGCTTGGGAGGCTGAGGCAGAATTGCTTGAACCCAGGAGACAGAGGTTGCAGTGAGCTGACATGGTGCCGCTATACTCCAGCCTTGGTGACAGAGTGAGACTCTGTCTCAAAAAATAAAATAAAATAAAATAAAATAAAATAAAAAATAAACAAATAGAATACAAAAATTAGCAGGGTGTGGTGGCACACACCTGTAATCCCAGTTACTGGGGAGGGTGAGGCAAGAGAATCGCTTGAACCTGGGAGGCGGAGGTTGCAGTGAGCCGGGATCACACCGCTGAACTCCAGCCTGGGTGACACAGCAAGACACTGTCTCAAAAAGCAACAACAACAACAAGTCCTCAGGTGGACTACTGGTAGTGAAACAAATGAAATGAGAATCCTGGATGCCTGGCTTGCAGCTGTAACTCAGAGGTGGTTGAAGAAGAGGGTCTTTAGGTCATGGAAGCTCATCTGCAAAGGCTGAGAATATGCTGGCAAGAGGGAGAGGTTCTGGGCTCAGGAACAGGAGTCAGCGGGGAGAAGGAGGCGGGGTGCTTGCGGGGAAGGAATGTGTCTTTAGAATATGGTGAGGACATGTTTGATCCCTGGGGTAGGAGAAGCAGCCCTCAGTCTTTCAAACTTCTGATTAGAAGTTGTCCCCCAGGGAGGAGGTTTAGGAATGTGGTCATTTTTCTTCCCAATGGGGAGTCAGGACAGAAGCCAGCAGGTATGGCTGCAGTGCTGTGGGGTGGACATGAATAAGACGGAGAGTTCCCAGGTCTGGGCTGCCTAAGACAGCTCAAAGTCAAAGCCCAACCTGAGACTGTGCAGACCGGAAGTCATCATGTGGCCTACTTTCTGCTGCCCTGTCCTTCCTGGGACCCATGGGGCCCTCTAGTGAAATGGTCTGTCCTATTGCTGTGTGTCTGTCCAGGGACATGAGAGCCGAACACACCTGTTGTGCCACGGTCGAATGTTCTGGGTTGAACTGTGTCCCCTAAAAGATATGCTTAAGTCCTAACCCTGAGCACCTGTGAGAGTGATCTGATTTGGAGGGAGGGTCTTTGCAGAGTAATCAAGTTAAAAGGAGGTTCTTAGGGTGGGCCCTACCTAATCCAATAGGACTGGGGTCCTTACAAGGGTGAACAGCATGTGAGACAGACACAGGGAGAAGGCGGTGGGACCACAGAGGCTGAGACGGGCGTGACGCAGCTGCAAGGTGGGAATGCCCGGTTGTGACAGCCACCACCGGATGCTAGGAAGAGGCCAGTAAGGATTCCCCCAGAGTATCGGGTGGGTGGGGGGGGCGTATGGCCTGGCTGACACCTTGACTTTGGACTTCTAGCCTCCAGAACTGTTTCAGACTTTCCTGTTTTAAGCCTGTTTTAAGCCACCCAGTTTGTGATACTTTGTCATGGCAGCCCCAGGAAACGGATACACCAAGATTCCTCTTTCACAGGATTCTAACTCTGTACCAAGAGATACGTGGCAGGAAGGTAGGAAGTTACTCTTTTAAAATTACAACAGATGCTGGTTTTAATCCTGGAAAAGAATAATGAGTTTACAGAGTTCTGTTATGGTCAGAGATGCTCTAAACATACCTATATTCAGGGATGACATAATTTGGCTATCACTGGACTCACGCACAGGTACACTAAGGGCTGTGTACTGAGCATCTGAGCATCTCATTCACATCCACACCCAGGAGTGAACTCCAGTCATGGAAAGTCATTTGGTAGGAATTTGAGTAACCAAGGAACGAAAGGATTTATCAGATCACTTCTGTGGTATCAGAAAAACAAGTATGACAAAAAAAGGATTCGAACTGGAAAAAAACAAAGAGAGAAAAGGTTGAAGCACATCAGCCTACCTGCATTGGGTCCTGTGAGAGCCTTGTCCACTTAGAACAAGCCTTTAACTTGTTCTGTTTCGGTATCAAGATCTATGTCATAAAAGCAGGGCCGGGTGGGCAGTCCTGGCATGGTGCTCATCTGGGGGAGAAAAACGAGTGTTAGAGATTAGCAAATGCTATAAAGTGGCCACAGCGTCTGATGACGCAAATGAACTCTATCATTCAGTACAGCCTCATAGAACTTTAGATTTTATATGCATGTATCTCTTTAAATTTGTCATCTGATATTTCAATTTTTGTTTAAGGAAATGAAATAGAAAAGGCAAATGTCAACTTCCTGAAAATTGAGACCATTTATCTTCCCTGTGGCCCCACAACACACCCGAACTACAAAACAGTGATCTTCCAAACCTTTTTCTTCTCAATAAAATCTTCATGCTGAACCCCAACAAAGACAAGCCCATTAGGTTGAAGGGGGCAGCGGCTGTGGGCAGGGTGAATAATGGTCTCCTTCTCACCCCCAAGACACATTTTTGTAAAACCTACAGCTCCCGGAGCACAGCTGGAAAACTCCTGTTCAGATGCCAGTCGTCACTGCAGTCTCCCTCAGTACAGTAACTGGTATGCACTGAGAGCTTGCTTTGTTGATGGGCACTGTGCTGCATGCTTTCCTCATTTTATCCTCTCAATAATGTAGGAGGTAGGAACTTTTATTATTTCTATTTCACAAGCGAAGAAACTGAGGTTTGGAGAGGCTAAGTCACTTGCCCCGGGTCACACTAGTAATAAGTTGCAACACCAGAAATTTGACTTTAGTAGGCCTATACTCTCAAATTACTCATTTCACCCCTACCATACTGCCACGGCCACCCCTACTACTGCTTTTGTGACACTTGATGGACAGTCTAAGGGTTTTACAGAAAAGATCTCATTGAGCTTCCCAGCACCCTAATGAGGTAGGTACTCATTTTAGCCTTACTTTACAGATGAGGACACAGGACATTTAGGCATGAGGGTATGAGCTCAAGGACACACGGCTAGTTAGTGGTGGAGACAGGATGAAAACTGGTTCTTCACCGCTTTGCTGTGTTGGGATGAAAGATCTTCAAACCGCACACTCTCCTCCTGGATCAGAAGCCCTGTGTGTGCTGGGGCCTCTGACGCTGGCCCCCCGACGGATCCTCAGGCCCTGAAACACTGCTCCAGGGTCTAGATTCTGGGGCTCCCAGATGACCTGTTCTGTTTCCATTTCAGCATTTCCTACTGTGCTTTAATAGTGAGTGTCTCATACAAATGATGCCCATGGAGCAATGCTGCACCCAGTCGCACGGGGCAATGCTACACCCAGTTGCACGGGGCAATGCTGCACCCAGTCGCATGGGGCAATGCTGCACCCAGTCGCGTGGGGCAATGCTGCACCCAGTTGCTTGGAGGAGACACTCGGGTTCTACTGTGCCTGCTCTCCTGAGGGTTAACGCCATGTCATGTAGAACCTCCACATGCCCTGGCCAAGACCGCCTTGGATGAGATGAGGCTACGATGTGCCAGCACCTGATGGCATCCAGGGTTTGCCTGCTTCTTCCCACATGGCAAAAAGTTCTCAGTGTAAAAGGGACTTCCCTAAGGCCTAGAGAATAGAACTCAGCTCTCACCCTCCACTGCCTTTCAGTCGTGACTCGAGGTTTCCCTCTTCACCAGCCTCTCCTCCCCGCATGGTGTTTAGAGACTCCTGTTACTCAGATGGGTCCTGTGGGCCTGTGCATGGGCATTACCTGGGAGCCTGTTAGATATCTGGAATTTCAGAGCCCACCCCAGACCTGCTGCATTTGAATCTGCAACTGGAGCAAGTCCCCAGGGGGTTCTGATGTGAACTGCACAATGTGGCCTCAGCCCCCAACAGCTCCAGCCGCCCTTCCTCACTTCACTGCCCAGCCCCTTCAGCACAGGGAAAGGGAAACTGGGGGTGAGGAGAGGGAGAGGAAGAATGGTGAGGGGGAAGAGGAGAGGAAAGCCTGCTTAACCCCTGCAGATGCAGCAGGTGGAGAGCAAATCTGTGCACCTGCAGGCCTCATTAACACCCCCTTCCCTGCCTGGCTGGGCCGGCTAAGAGTGGGAGGGGGGGAGCTGGGAGACCACATAAAACATTGTGATGGATGATGGCTGGTTCTTGTCTTGCTAATTGCACAGGACTGCACTTCAGGTATATAAATGGGCTCAAAAGGCTTCCGCAGCTGCCTGGAATACAGCTGCCATTCATAACACGCCTATGGGAAAATCCATTCTGGGTTCCAAACAATGAACTACAACTATACTTTTGACACCAGACCTGCTTGTAGGTGGGGACTTGCTATATGTTAAAACTTTAGGTATGAAGATGGGTATCATAGCCTCTGACGTTAAAGTTCCCAGCAGGAGGGTAACATTTTTCTCTGGTTACTCCAGTGAGTGCATATAATGGGGGAGACCCCAGAAAGAAAACCACACTTACTGTTCTACAGATTGAAACATCAAACACAAGGGTAACTGGTGGACACATATTTTTTTCCAGCTGCCTAGGTTGCAACTCATACCAGGTAATTTCCCTGCCTAACCGCATTTTGAGATGGCATTTGCGGGCATCTTATGGCTTTTATAGAAGGTTTTATTTTTATTTTTATTTTTTTATTTTTGAGACAGAGTCTCACTCTCACCCAGGCTGGAGTGCAGTGGCACGATCTTGGCTCACTGCAATCTCCACCTCCCGGGTTCAAGCGATTCTCCTGCCTCAGCCTCCAGAGTAGCTGAAATTATAGGCACCCGCCACCACGCCTGGTTAATTTTCTGTGTTTTTGGTAGAGACGGGGTTTCACCATGTTGGCCAGGCTGGTCTCAAACTCCTGACCTCAAGTGATCCACCCACCTCGGCCTCCCAAAGTGCTGGGGATTACAGGCGTGAGCCACTGCACCCAGCTATAGAAGGCTTTTTAAGATGCCTCTATAATCTGTGCGTAGCTATGGATTTGAAAAAGAACAAGCATTTTATAGTTTAAGAGAAAGAAATGAATAATCATATTTAGCCACAGGGATGCTGTCCCACCCCTGAAATGCACTCTCTAGGTCAAAGGCATCTTACTGGTAAGGATGTCACTGGACTCTATGGCTGTTGCAGCTTCTGAGACTGCAACACGATTTCAGTACGGATGAGGCAGTGTAAATAGAAATCTCTACTCACGGTGACAAAACAAGAAGAACTCTGAAGGCGCTGTATCTGGGTCCATCTGACCAAAGCTACCAATGGAAGATTCTACTGCAGATAGCATAATTTACTGCATGCTTGTTTACACGCACTATCTTTACAAACAACAAAACCCAATTCTCCGCCTTTAACTATCTGCTGATGAAAGGCAGTGCAGGATTCGCGTGGTAACTGGAGCTGTATTTATTTGTTAGCTGCAGTGGATCAGAACGTGAATCTTCTAGTCATTCTGAGTCTGTCACAAAACCAGGATCTAAACCTGGCCAGGCTGGGAGCAGTGGCTCACGCCTGTAATCCCAGCATTTTGGGAGGCCGAGGCGGGCAGATCACTTGAAATCAGCCTGGCCAACATGGCGAAACTCTCTCTTCTAAAAATACCAACAAAAATTAGCTGGGTATGGTAATGAGCACCTGTCGTTTTAGCTACTTGAGAGGCTGAGGAAGGAGAATCATTTGAACTCACTTAGGAGGCCGAGGTTGCAGTGAGCCGAGAGTGCACCAATGCACTCCAGCCTGGGCAACAGAGCGAGAATCTGTCTCAAAAAAGAAACAAACAAAAACTGGCCGAGATATTACATGCCAGGAAGTGTGAAATGTCTTTCCTCTTGTTTTCAACTTTTCTTTCTTTCAGATGGGAGGAAAATGAGTTCAATCAGAAGACTCCCATGACCCCTTCCAGTGACGCAATCATCTCTTCCAAGAAGCGCAGCTACTTATTTGGGATAAGCGACAACAGACGAGAAACCACAAAGAATCTGCAGACGCGAGACTCCCTGACCTGTGGATACACAGCCATCTCCAATAAGTCTACGTTTAAACTAAAACTTCTCCTGTTGAGCAAGCATAATATGGAATTATGTTAGCAAGACCTTATGCATTCCCACAAATTTTCTCCCAATAAAAAAACTGTTATCAAAGGATTGTCACCCCCGAGACAAGAGTCAATACAGCACTGCAGGGAAAAGGGAGTCCAGACAGCCGTTGGGAGTTGACCTCTGGCCACATGCCTGGGGTCAGTGGAGATCTATGTTGACTTTATCTGTGTGCCCTTTAAGGAGGCCTCCTGCTTAAAATAACTAAGGAGCCACTAAAATGTACTTACTTGTAATGCTGCATTAATGGATTCTTCTACAAAGGCTGAAATTCATGGGCGTTTGCCCTTCATGACTGGAATTTTTACTACAATGAATCTTCTGAATCTTTACTGATTTTGGGTTAACTCTATTTTGGAGAAAGAATGAGTTCTATCAATAGCCTTTATGAGCACTAATTAAAAATCAGTACAGAGAGAATAGTTACATATTTCAAACTAGTCATTAAGAAATAAAAGAATATCCTTGGTATAAGTTGAAAAATTACTAAAGATTCTGTTTCATAAAGTGATAGAATCACAATTTCTCAACGTAATTTTCTTAACTTAACATTGTACTTAGTTTTGTTGTGTTTCTGAAATAATTTATTTTCTGATTTCTCCTGAAATCTACTACCTTTTCCAACAACAACAACAACAAAAATCTAATTTTATTTTGGTTCAGAAAAAGAGCAGCATTTTTACACATATCTATTTTGTTCCTACAGTTCATGATCTGAAGCAGAAGACAGTCCTTCTACACCTTTTTTTTTTTTTTTTTT